GCAGCCCACTTTTTATAGAAGGAGCCCCGATAAGAGAAAACGGTAGCCCACTTGAGAGTTTTGGGCCCATGTATGGATAATCAACCATTTTTTAAACCCATATCATACAACGGAATAAGTATTTTCACCAATTTATTTATTTGGTAACTTGATGCGTTCCTTTTACTATTGCTTTTCCCCATCTTTCTTTTTCTTTCTACTCTTTTTTTGTTAAAATGAAACGAACACAAATGTTTACATGTTGGGCCACCACTTTAAAATGAAACGAACACAAATGTTTACATGTTTACATGTGCTTCACGGAATTAGTAGGGAAGGCAGCTATTGATCCAGCACATCACAGAGACTCTCCCTACTTTTTTTTTCTACGAATTGAGGATATAAAAGGTTGATAAACATAGGGCTTATCATCTTTTTTTTTTTTTTTTTTTTTTTTTTTTATGCGTATGTGTGAACAAATTGAGCACCAAGGATGTCATCTGTGGGGCCCATTTTTTATATCAATTATATATACCATCAATTCTTAAAAAGTTTAGCTGCAGTACACTTTTTCTCTTTCATCGATTCACACGGAACTTTTTTTTTCTTATTTTGAACACTAAACTTCTTGTATTCGCTCCTTCTTATCTCATTTTCTTGCCGCCTCACATTCCACCAATGAGATTTATCACGTTTTTTTATGTTTTTGATCTTATTTTTTTGCTTCCTTCTGCTTTTTGTTTTCTCGCTGCGTTCGTCCTTTCCTTTACAAGAGTTATTTTCCTTTGTTTTTGCTTGCTGCTTTCGTTTTCTCCCTTACAAGCTTCGTTTTTTAGGTATGTTTTGGTGATCCTCCCTCTATAATATCATGTCTGTAGGTTCGTCTTCTAAACGCCGTTTTTCTCCTCATTTAGCTGGCCTTCTGTCTTCCGAAAAAGGGTCCTGTTCTTCTGTTGGTAACGATACTTTACTTTTGCCTTCTTACGATGATATCGGCGATTGCACCTTTGTTTGTAGATTTTGTAGTGCTTTTTTCTGGTTTGATGAAAGGGTTATGTATTTGTCACGTCCAGATTGCCCTGCCTATACGCGGTGTTGTAAATCTGGTTCTGTTGTTTTACCATATCCACTTCTACCTCCTAAATTGTTGCTTGCTCTATTTGATTTTCGCCCTTTCATCAAAAACATAAGGGCTTATAATAGTATGTTTAGCATGACGTCTTTTGGAGGTAAGGTGGATGACACTGTTAATAGGGCGGATGGTCCATATGTATTCAAAGTTTCTGGTCAGGTTTGTCATTGGATTGGTGCTTTTGATGTTGTTGATGAAAAAGGACCAAAGTTTTTGCAATTGTATATTGTTGATACAGACCATGAATTGCATAATAGGCTCTCTGCTTTTCCAAAAAATGAAAATGGCTGTTTAGATTCAACAATAGTTGAGGCTCTTATGGATCTTTTTACAGCTCATAATGAATATGTTAGAACTTTTAAATGTGCAAAAGATATTGCTGCTGAAAGAAACTTACCTGAATATGCAGTTCGTCTTTTTAATGATGTTCCTAATCGTCTGTATGGCCCTCCGGCCCCTGGTAGTTTGGGTTGTATTGTCGTTGGTGAAGACGTAGTTGGCAGTACATATGATATAGTTGTGCATTCAAAAAGTGGTCCTCCGCGTAGGATTAGTAAACTTCATCCTAGCTACATGCCATTGCAGTATCCTGTTTTGTTTCCCTATGGTAAGGATGGTTGGTCCCCAAGGTTGAAGCTTTTAAATGAGGTTGGTTCGAAGGCTAGGAATCTTAGTATCAACATGTATTATTCTTACCAAATACATGCAAGGAATGGTATATATTCTGTTGTGCTAAATTCATGTAGATTATTCCAGCAATATTTAGTTGACGCATATGCATGTATTGAACTTTCGCGGCTTGATTTTTATGAACAAAATCAAAATCACCTAAGATCAGCATATGTTAGTGGTATTTACGATGCCATATCACGTGGTGATACTGATGGTAGAAGTATTGGTAAGCGTGTTATTTTACCACCATCTTTCGTCGGTGGTCCAAGGTATATGTACAGATTATCAGGATGCCCTTTCTATTTGTCGGGAATATGGGAATCCACAGTATTTTATAACATTTACGTGTAATGTTGGTTGGCCAGAAATCAGCAGGTACATGGACATGCATCGCCAGTTTGATGTTCCGAGCAGGGCAGACATAATCTCACGTGTTTTCCATATGAAAGTTATTGCCTTTATTAGTTATTTGAAATCTGACAAGACGTTCGGTCCTGTTACAGCACGTAAGTTTTTTTCTTTTTTTTTTTCTGTGATAATATTTTTTAAAAAAATATGTTCCCTGTATTTTCGTTTATTCATTACTGTGTTTAGATTGTTATATTGTATTTACTAATTAATTTTTTTTAAATATTTTTTGTATTTTTAACAATGTTCTTTTAAAAAATATATTCGCTGTAAGTTTTTTTTATTTTTTTTTCTGTGACAATATTTTTTTAAAAAATATGTTCCCTGTATTTTCATTTATTCATTACTGTGTTTAGATTGTTATATTGTATTTACCAATTAATTTTTTTAAATATTTTTTGTATTTTTAACAATGTTCTTTTAAAAAATATATTCGCTGTAAGTTTTTTTTTTTTTTTTTTTTTTTTTGTGACAATATTTTAAAAAAAATATGTTCCCTATATTTTCGATTATTCATTACTGTGTTTAGATTGTTATATTGTATTTACTGATTAATTTTTTTTTAAATATTTTTTGTATTTTTAACAATGTTCTTTTAAAAAATATATTCGCTATAATTTCGTATGTTCATTAGTGAATTTAGATTATTATATTTTATTTACTAATTAGTTTTCCTTTTTTGAAAATTTTATTGTGTTTACTATTTAGTTTTCCTTTTTTAACGGTTCTTTCTTTGGCAGATCTATATACTATTGAATTCCAGAAAAGGGGTTTACCGCATTGTCATGTGCTCATATGGATAGCAGATTCCCACAAGATAAAGGAACCATCTGCCATTGATGCTTACATTACAGCTGAATTACCTGACCCTATTTTGGAGCCATTATTATATCAGACAGTTACAAGATGCCTTGTACATGGACCGTGTGGTTTGCTAAATACTAAGTCCTCATGTATGAAGGATGGTAAGTGTAAGAAAAGATTCCCAAAAAATTTTCGTAACGATACAGTTTTTGACAAGGATGGTTATGCACATTATAAAAGGCGATCTGGTGAGGTCCATAGGTTAGAAACAGGTGTAGAAATAGACAACAGGTTCATTGTTCCGTATAACAAAAGACTGTGTTGTCGTTTCAATGCACATATAAATGTCGAGTATTGTGGGTGGAACATGATGATTAAGTATCTGTTCAAATATGTATCGAAGGGAATGGAGCGTGTTAGGTTTGTTATTCAGAGAGATGTGCACACTTCTGGATCTTCTGTTTCAGTAGAACCTCCTGTCATTGATGAGATTAAGAACTATATCGATGGCCGTTTCCTCTGCCCTCATGAAGCCGCGTGGCGTATACTTGATTTTCCGATTCATGACCGAGATCCGTCAATTGTCATACTGCCTATACATTTGCCAAATATGCAATCTGTGTTGTTTAAAGAAAACATTAGTATTAACCAGGTTGTTGACGATCCCAACTTTGGAAGCAGTTTGTTGTTAGGTTGGTTTGATAACAATAAGTGGGATAGAACTGGTCATAATCTTACATATAGCTCATATCCTACTAAGTACTGGTGGGACAAACAGGCAAAAGCTTGGAAGAGAAGGAAACGTTGTAATTCCATGCATTAGGTAGACTTATCTTTGTTCATCCATCTGCTGGAGAATTATTTTACTTAAGAATGTTGCTTTGTCATCAAAAAGTTGTAGGTCTTATGAAGAAGTTCGTACTGTCTCTGGCACTGTGTACTCTGATTTTCGAGCTACCTGTGATTCGTTAGGTCTAATAGGGGAAGATCGAGAGTGGATGGACGCTTTTACTGAGGCTTCTGAATGGGCTACATCGTCTCAGCTTCGTTCTTTATTTTGTTATCTGCTCCTTTTATGTGATGTTAACGATCCTATGTGTTTGTGGCATTTTGGATGGAAGAAAATGAGTGATGATTTGGTACACAATATAAAGATGTCAAATCCTGGTGTTGATGTAATTATAGATGATTTGCACGTACAGCAGATGGTTTTATATGAACTGGATCATGTGCTTAGGTCATCTACACCTTCAAAATCTGTTGTTGATTTTCATTTGCCCAAACCTACAGAGGAGACTGTTGCTATGTTAAGAAATAGACTTTTTTTAGAAGAGACAACGTACGATAAGGACATTTTGAAAGCTACTCACCAACAGATGTTGTCGTCTCTAAATGATGAGCAGCTGAACATCTACAATGTTGTTCAATCTGCAGAAGCTAAAAGCCAACAGATGCTGCTTTTCGTTTATGGCCATTTCCTGTGGACAACAATACTAGCTTATTTCCGTTCAAGAGGAAAAATAGCTCTTGCTGTTGCTGCTTCTGGTATAGCATCTCTGCTTCTTCCATCAGGAAGAACTGCTCATTCCAGGTTCAAAATCCCAATTGACTTTACTGATAATGTCGCATGCAATATTACAAAAAAGACAATGCTTGCTGAGTTGTTGAAGGTAACTTCCATCATTATATGGGATGAGGCTCCCATGAGTGACAAACATTGTTTTGAGTGTTTGGACCATTCTTTGAGAGATATCCTTGAATGTGAAAGTAAAGTCTTTGGTGGTATGTCGATGTTATTAGGAGGAGACTTTCGTCAGACATTACCTGTGTCGCCAAAGACCACACCCTCTGAAATTATCTCCCTTACGCTGCCAAACTCGTACTTATGGCCATATTTCAGTTTGTATAAATTGACAGATAATATGCGGCTTAAAAACCTGTCCACCTCATCTGATAGTCATTTAGGTATCTCAAAGTTTGCATCCTGGTTACTTCAAATTGGGGATGGACTCATTGGTGAAATTGATGCATGCGATAAGACAAATACCAAATGGGTTGAGATTCCTATGTCACTGATCATACCTCCAACAAAAAACGCATTACACAGCCTTATAGACTTTGTTTATGGAGATGATATTCTGAAAAAATCCTCTGCTTCGACTCTGTCTGCTAGAGCAATAGTTTGTCCAAAAAATGAAACAATCCAAAAAATAAATGATATAGTTTTGCAGAGAAGTCCTGGTGATTCAAAGATGTATGAAAGTGCTGACAGTATTGAGTTCAATGGGAACCAAAGTACAGAGTTTAATACTTTCTATCCATTAGAGTATTTGAATGCCTTGACCTTCCCTTCCATACCTGTGCATTCACTGTTATTGAAAATCAACACTCCTGTTATGCTGATTCGGAACATAAACCAAAAAGAAGGTTTATGAAACGGCACACAACTGATGGTTTCACAGTTATTGTCCACCGTTATTGAGGCAACAATTATTACTGGGACTTCCATTGGGAGCAAAGTTTTAATCCCCAGAATTAGATTTATTCATAAAGCCCCTGATATACCTTTTACCTTTGTTAGGAAACAGTTTCCATTAAAAGTCTGTTATGCTATGACTATCAACAAAAGCCAGGGGCAATCTTTAAAAAAAATTGGAATTTATCTGCCTCACCCGGTATTCACACATGGACAACTTTATGTCGCATTGTCTCGTGCTACCTCTCCAGATTCTGTGAAAATACTTATAGATTCTGATGAAAACACTGCAAATAATAAAACGAAAAATGTTGTTTTCAGAGACTTCCTACACAAAGTTAATACTTCAGAGGTCAAATACATATTTAGCTTTTATAATTATATACAACAGCCTAATACATGTTTCTTACTTTTAATATTTATTGTTACATTCACAAATCATACTTATATTCATTGTTAACTATGACACCACACATCAACCTGATGCATGTATGTTAGCTTTTTTTACATGACTGCCTCATAAAACATAATATTTACTGCTGCATTCAGAAATGATGTTTATATTATTTGTTGACTACCATTCCAGACATGTCTCAAATAACAACAACAATCTCAGAATTGCATTATGGGTGTCCGGAACAGCGATACAGGTATATAAATAAATCTTTTTTCATGACAACTTTATATTACCAACATACATTCTTCAAAGACAATAAAATTATAACAATTTTTTTCACTTTAGGTAGAATCTTGCGTATGTGGACACCACAGATTAGAAATCATGAGACATGGTTCTTGGCTGTTGACAAAAATGTAAGTTATCAACTTCCATCCCAACCTCTTCTTCTAATCTATACACACATTAACCCTATATACAATCTCCACTATGTACAAGGGTGATGTGTTCAGATTCTGGACAAAGAAAAGATCAAAGCTTTCTACAATCCGTTCTCATTCCTTCTAGATGCTACACAATTGAGAAGTACGGATGTGGAGTACCGGATCGTTATCAAAAGTGGATCAATAATGAATTCTACATGGCTGTTGGGACAGTATCCTCTATTACACCTCTTCCAGACACTGCCATTATTCCAAAACATTGGTTTTCTTTTGTTTCCAAAACACAGATACCAGATTACAAAGATCAACATGCAGGTGTTACTATTCATACAAATAAAACAAGTAACATACAAAAAACCTTACATACACTAATAACAATTAAATAACTTTACCTGCAGATTTTGTTGGCTTCTTCAGCAAGCTTATCAACTGCACGAAAAAAGATAGTGAACCATACCTGTTGTTGATACTAAAAAATGATTCGTAAGTACTTTTTCAGTTGTATTACCGTAATATGTTATTAACATGTGTCAAACCTATGAACATCAGCGGTGAAGACATTGCAATAAGTTTATGGAAGGAATTCACCAGTGTGTCTTCAAAGTTTGATCGTGTTGTTCTCGAAAATGCTCCTGCACCTGTCATAGTCGCCATAACCAGCATAAAGATCTCTACTTACGCAGGTAACTACGTATAAAATGTTGTTACATTAATAATTTTAAAAATACAATTATTTGCTTGTGTATTATGTTGAATACTAAATATACAGGAGCACTACGACTTGGAACAAGTAGTGCTACTCATCTATACATCAACCCACCAATTCCAGAAATGAAACTACTAATGGACAGGTATCATAAAGAATGCACATTGATAAAATACATTACATTCTAAAATACTTTTAATTCACGGATTGCAGTTACAATACATTACCTGAGGTACCTGTTTTTTTAGATCCTCCAATACAATTGTCGAAAATACTCGACAAAAGTCATTCTGATCTTTCGGTATGTTACACCTACATGTATATATGTGTCCACACAAGAAAAAAATATCATGTTTATACTTTTAAGCAGATTATATACGTCTGTACGTTATATAGGACAGAACTCTTACGACAAAGGCTTGCATAATTGAATATATCTTCTCAGACTCTTGGTACCATGTTCAATGTCCGAAATGCAAAAATACAACTTTCAAACAAGGGAAAAACTGGTTTTGTCCATCAGATGGAATACTTGAGTCTCCATGTAGCACGTAAGCATCAGACAATGAAAAAATCAATTAATTAATAAAAGAAAAATATAGAAGCTTGGCAATAACTCATTTCTACCCACATGCAGGTTTAAATTGAATGCAGTTATTAAAGATGAAAGTCATTCCATGACTGTTGTGCTGTCTGATAATGCAACACAGGAATTACTAGGCACAACAGCAGATAACCTCAGATCAGACAACAACACAGATGACAGAAAGGAAGTACCACCAATTGCTATCTCTTTACTAGGAACTCCAAGAAAAATGAAAATTCGCATGACAAATACATCAAAGGACAACAACATTCGATTCATTGTTACAAATATCGAAAAAATGCCTTCTGAAGTACCACCTTCCATGACAACACCACCTCCTGATCGTCCAACTTCTTCAAAAAATACTAATGAAGAAAGTGCTCAGAACTACCAACAGAGTAAACAAAATGTTAGAAGATCACTTCCGTTTGAAAATCCAGGTAAATTTTCATTTCTAGTGTACATATATATAAGGGTAAATACATATTGCCAAAATGGTGAATATATTTAATTATAAATGAAAACACAGTTACTACAAAACGAAAAGCCGCCCGTAAAATGGAATAGACCTCACTTCTTCGGATGTTGATCATAAAAGAAATACTAATGGTATATAACATGTTGCAGCTATGTACAAAAAATGTTTAACTTTGGTGTTCTAGCTATTATAGTATCTGTAGTTGTACCCTTAACTCATAATGGAGTTTGTGTTGGCTTTACTATAATGTAATAACTAAGGCAGTATTTCGTATGACAGATAGTTATGTAAAATATGTTACACTTATGTAAAAAAAAAGTGTTTTGCTTTCAGCTTTTATACTACTCTCTGTAGTTAAACCCTTAACTGATGATGACGTTTGTATTCGCAGCCTACTATAATGTAATAATTAATGCAATATTTTGTATGATAAATAGTTATGTGAAATACGCAACGACAATGAGTTATGTACGTTTTTTCATAAACGACCCACAACTGAATGGTTTATTAACAATTTGTCACATAGTTATAAACGACCCACAAGTAAACAGTTTATTAAACGGCCCACAACGACAGTTGCTTATTAACATAACTGAATGGTTTATTGACACTTTCTCACATAATAAAAGTTAATACTTAATACCATGCAAAACGAAAAAAAAAATTACAACAAATTACTCCATTACAACAACTCATATTAATTACAACTAAGTTATTGTCAAAAACACCAAATAAAAGCCAAAACTATAAAAACAAATTTTATTAAGAAAATAATTAAATATTACCGCCCTTTGCAGATAGCGTACATCTGTAGGTCTAACATATCATAGGTTCAACAACTAAGTGATATGATGACACGCCACATGAGTCTCAAAATACCTTTATATAGATGTTTAATAACCATACCTATGAAAAGGGATAACTTACACATGGACATCTAAACAATACACTTCCACTATATAATGTACATAAACAAAAATACTTCCAGACAAAAAACAATCCCTACAAATCTTTCACTCTCCATACAAAAAAAATATGAAAACCACACTTTTCAACAAAAGTCTCGCTGTTATGATCGATTTCCTTAGGGAAATCGGAAATCTGATTGAAGCTGCCCAAGGAAAGTTAGAAGAAAGTTTTTGCCTCGATGAAAACATCCAGTCATACATGGCGAACAATACAGAAGATCCCGACGTACAGATACTACACAAAATATTTGAAAAAGCCAGAGCCGATGACCAATCCATGACTGACAACTTTTCGTTTACACTCGGAGACATCCACAAAAGAATTGGTAAATATAAGCGCAAAATGAAGGATACATCCACAGACTGACTTTTCGTCTGATATCCACCTGCAAACCACTTGCACCTTCGTGTATAATAGTTTTAATGTACGTAGTTAAATAGTTTTAATGTACATAGTTAAATAAAATACATGTTTTATGTAAAAAATTATATATAGCAAATGATATAATCATTATGCATGAAATTATATATACCAACCACTTACGATAAACGAATCGCAAACTACTAACCTTCAATGCTTAATAAATGATAACACAACTCCAAAGACCTTCCAAAAATTTCTAATTAACACATAACTCGAAACTGCCGCCACAACTCACATCACATTCCATCGTCTTCTCAAAAATTAATACTTACATTAAATACCCAACAACCACTTCAAAACCGTATTAAATTTCAATATGCCTACTTAAGTAAACGTTTATTCATCAAACATTCTCATACTCTCGTACTATACACATCACAACATCGATCACAAACACAAAAAAATGAAGCCACAAGAAATGAAAAGTATCCTCAACAACCTCATCTCTCACGAAGAAGCAGAGCAGCTTTCGTTAACCAACATGGAGGAAGAAGTCCATGAGCACCAAAAGTACAAAAAAAAACTTATGGAGGAGATGACCTCAAAACCATCATACAACAACTACTTGACGATGCAACAAATCGTGTTTGAAACCAACTACGAGGCCGGTAGGATGCTAAAAATCATGCATGAAATGAGAAAGAAACATGAAGAGGTTATCAAAAAACTCAAAACAAACATCAAGGAACTTCCTAAAGACATCCATCCATACGTATAATGTGTTCGCAGGTTTAGTATGCCTTCCAGAAAACATCATTTAGTAATGTACTCGTCAAGCGTAATAGTCTTTTGGTAATGTAATCGTCAGTGTCACTGTATGGCCACGTTCAACCTCAATTTCATATATGTATTGCAATGTCATCAATATTATCGTATGCTTCCTTATGTACAGCGCCAATCTCGATTGAATTAAAGGTCCAGCTGCTCCTTCCAATCTCGATTTTTTCAAGGATAGACTAATATTGAAACATTGACTATGTGGGATCTTGCAGTTTCATAGAGGATTTTTTTTTGTGTTGTTTATCACTGAAGATTCGTCAGCCTTAGAAAAATTTGGAGCTGTAATTTCTCCGGAGGTTCGCCATTTGTGGAGGTTTGTCAGAGAGCCACTCAGGGACCGACGATTGGAGGTTTACGCATGTTTGATAGCGGTTCATTGGAGGGAGAAACAACAGTCGGCCGGTGATGATTTAACTTTATTTTCCAACGACGATTGCTACTGAAAATGCTATGTTAGAGTTGGAGGCGACCGGAGAAAATGGTTGACGACGATGCTTCGCTATCGATTTTCGGGAGCTATGTTGTAGCTCTGGTTGTGACGAGAAAATAGAGGTTGCAATCACTACTAGTTGTGCCTTGCCGGAATAAATGGTGTGTCGGAGGTTCTTCGTTGGACGTCGCTAACTAGAAATGACCGACGATGGTAGTTGTTGGCAATAATGTCGTTGTTGGGTTTTTCTTACCGGTGGTGATTCTGAAAAAGCAGAGGAATG